TAGGACCACAAGGGCAGCAAAGTTCTCCCTCAAGAGTTTTAACACTGCTGCATTCCCAGGGCTCGAACACGAGACCACTGGTTAAGCTGGAAGAGACCCAAACCATCTCATCCAAGCGCTCTTGGGTTCCTATTTTTTATAAATATGATTTAAGGGAAAATTTTAATATAACTTAGACTTTTACTTATCGTGTCACAATAAGTCCTGAATTTTCAACTTATTTATTTGAGAATTTTAATTTTGAGTTATTCTCAATATAAAGTCGAACTTTTATATCATTTTTTATATTGGTATAAATATGTAAATTACAATACTCATTTTTTTAAATTTATTAAATAATTATAATGAAAAATATTAAATATCTTTAGTAATTTATTTATTTTTTTAATATATTTAGTAAAATTACCAAATAAAATATTTATTTCATAATTTACTTCTATGCAAAAGCTTAATGAATTTTATTTTAAAAGTTATAAAATAAATTTTTACTTAATTTTAATCAAAATATGTGATAACATTAAAATATAAACTATTTAAAAAATAATTTTATTTTTTTTAAATAAAATTATAGAAAATATTATTTGTGAATAAAAATTATACTTTTGAAAAAGTTAAGAACATATAAAATTAATGCTTATAATAAAAGTATTAAATACATTTGTAAAACTAACTTCGTAAGAAAATTAATCCAAATTAGTTACACTTATGCAAAATAAATTTAACTTACATGAATTAATTTTCTTACTAATCTTCTTATTAAAGTGATTTTACTAAAAATATTTCTAAGTAATTAAAAAAAAATTAAAAAAGAGTATTGTGGTCAACATAATTACATCAAAATACAAAGTGATTTGGAGTCTTAAATTGAAAAGTAAAATGTAAAAGTAGAATTGAGAACAACTTAAAATTGAAACACTCAAATGAAAAAACTGTAAATTCAGGTCTTATAGTAACACAACAACAAAAAGTCAAGCTTACAATAGAATTTACCCATTAATTAAATATCAATCAATCATTCTCATATCATCGGTCATTTCTATGAAGCCACTCTATTATTTTCTTTACTCTATTATTTGCTTACAGTCATTCGGCGACGTTAACGCGGCACAAACATGTGTATTAAAATACATGACATGACAAACATGTATTCTTTATTTTTTGTCTTACATAAAATAAAAGTGAAAGGAATGAATTCACGAAACCGCAGTCCCAAAATCCCACAAATCGATTGATGAGACGAAATCTGAAATCCCTAAATTCGACTGATAATAATGAGGCAAAATCTATTTTACTAAGGAACGGTATTCTGTTTTCTGATGTTCCGTTCGTTCGGCATTGAACCGAACCAACCATTTGCTCACTTTTATCCACAAGACAAGAATTCATGTGAAAAAGGCAGTAATTTGGAAATGAATCAATGCAGCTTGAAGTATACGATTTTTTCACTTGTGCAATTAATTGTAGTAGATTATGATTCATACCAACTCAGTAAAAAAAACACTTAACCTTGTGAAAAGTGATCATATCCCCGTCAGCTAATCTTTAGGATGGATAAATTTAATCAAATGAAGTGACAGAAAGTGCAACTCTAAGATCATTTGAAGTTCCACATACATACATCCTGTGTGTTTCGATTTCCTGCTGATTGAGCTTACGAGTACAAGCAGCATAGTAGCTCTCACTCACACGATCACATTTGGAAAATATTATCTCCCTTAAGACGGGTTCGTGGCCATTTAGAAGATTTCCCATGCTCAACACTTTCCTCCACGACTGGTTTGCCGTTGGCTGAGTAAACATGCTCATGATTAGGCTTCTTTCCCGGGCACTTACACGTTGCTTTTTGTCAAATACCTGACAAAAATAAAATGACCGGGTTATAAAAGAATGATATACGGACATATAATGCAACACATTTTCCCCCTAGAATAAACAAATTGTTGAATAAGATTAATGTAGAAAAAGTACACTTTATATGTTGTTTATAGCTAATAGTGTTATGTAAGAATTCACATCAAATATAGACTGTCAATTGAGATGTTTCTTGGCGGAGCTTTGTTTGAACATTTTACAGTCTCCTTTCTCAAATTATCTGTTGTTTATAGCTAATAGTGTTATGTCTTAACTTAAAAATAAGTTGTTAAAAGTATGGGGAAAAATTTTGCACATAAAAAGATGATAATAGCGACAATTATGTAAAGAAATGATGAGATATGTGATCCAGGAGCAAAAAAAGAAAAAAAATAGTGACAGTTCTGTAACTACAATTGTGCTGGTTCATCTTCAGCTTAATGAGTTTCCAATATTCCATTTTTCTTCTTACTTCTCAGCAGACAAGTGGCATCTTTTTCTGGTAGTTCTACCACCAGATATACAATCATGTATTATTTTTTTCTTTCTTCTTGCCACATATCTCACAATGGACATTGTTCCCTTCGAGATGCTCTTATAAGACTATATTTTTAAGTGCTTACAAAAAGCACTCAAACTCAAAACATCTTATCAACTCCTCTAATATATACATCATCAACGTCAACATACCCAGTATATTCCCAAGAGGTTGGGGTCAGGGGGTCAGTTGTACGCATACCTTACCCTTGTAATTATACAAGGAGGTTGTTTCCATAGCGACCCAAGGTGCGTTGCGTCGTTTGATATATTTTTTTTCTAGAAAATGCAGACGAAGATTTACGCAGTGAAAGCTTACTGTTTTGGTATCACTTTGAGCAGAGCCTGTTCCCAAGCTCAGCAGATTATAGCAATCACTGAAAATAGCCTGGGCAAGATTTTGTGAGTGCAAAAACTTGCTATGAAGAGAAGCTGCTAGAAGAATTAATTTCTCAATGTGTCCGAAAGTGGCACACAGTCGTCTCAGGTCTTCAATATCATCATTATCGCAGGTCATCTTATTTGCTGTAAAATAGTAACTACCAAGAGTTATGAAATTCATATGAGCTTTAACTCTGATAAATCAGAAAATTCAGAGATATTATTTACCTTGCAAATATTTTAGCATGGATGCCATAGTCGCATAAAATTGCCCCATTTTTGTGGTCATCTGCTGTAATTCACCGAATGAAGTCTGATTAAGAGTGTCTGCTGCTGCTCTGAAGGCAGTACAAACCATTTGTTCGAGTAGTAGAAAGGGTTTAAGCGTTTCCAGATAATGAAGAACCTGATTCAATATGACAATATAATGTAGAAGGTATGAGATCCAGAGATAAAAGTAAACACATGTCACAAGCTTATGATTAAGGACAAGTGGACAAACATAATAAAATACTAGATTACATATGAGAGGGGCAGAAAAGCCACACCATACTATTACAGGAAAAGTCAATACCTTTTCTCCTTCTCGATTTGGATCGAGGAGTGGTTTTTGTTCAGAAGCAGGCAAAGGTAGAACTTCGTTCCACATTTTTCTCCAGGAATTCCCATTATCGGACATTCTCTCTGATAGTCTCCCACGAGGACACTTGACTTGCGACACCTGTACAGCTGCATTGGCTTGAGAATCACAAACCTCCCGACTTTCATCATCACTAATTTCCCAGTCCCTTGGTGAATGCCAACGGATAAAATCTTCAAAGACAGCATATGGATTAGCTGCTTTGAACGCTGACATGTCTGCAGCAGCCGGGTTTAGGGAAGCAAAAGATACACGTAAACATAATGATAAATAAATAAAGTTATCTTTAATAAAACATTCTAGCATGAAATTTGAACGGGCAACTACTGTTTATACTAAACATGTTTTATGGAAATTTTAAATAGAAAATGACGGATAAAACACACCCTTGACTTAATGCAAAATAAGAATCTCGTGGTAAACTGTCATCTACACTTCAATTCTTTTTTCTGATATTTATCTTTTGTACATGGAAAGAAAAGGGAACAAAAATATTTCCTAAGATTCTAAGTGATCCTTGCAAACATCTGAACACAGCAGGCTATGACAAGCATGCATAATGATGAGTGTAGTGCCGAGTCATACTAGATTACATAAATAAATCTGTAGCCTGATTTTCTTTTAAACTGATATTGATTAAATGCATCGATCATATGGCCTCCTAGCTCATTGCCGCAAGAAGGGAAAAGGCGAAAAATATATATCTCAGAAAAATAAGGTATGGTACACACAACTGCTAAACTAAAGAACAAATCACATACTAAGAAACAGCACTACATGAAGAATGTCCTTGAATTTGATCGATCAAGTTCCATTGTGCAGCAGATTGCTGAAATGCATACAAGCAGCACTAGGACTTTCGCAATAGATACTAGATATTATTTTCTACTGGATTCTTCTTTTCACTAGAATATACTGATCTCGAAAACAATTCAGATGTGTAATTATCTTTTATATTCCCAGGTCATCGTAAGGTTATTCTTCATTGAGTTTCCTTTTTTCTTTTATTTAAGATTTAGTTGATTTTCTTGTGGATTTGGTCAGATCAAATGTTATTTGGGTGAAGAAAAGAAGAATAATACAAGTCACGATGTTAGAACCTGAAAATTCATGTTGTTTCTTTGATTAGGCAAAAGTGAAAACCCATGCTGCTTCATTAATTAGGCATGAACCAAGGATTTTAGATGATTCGATTAAAAAAAAAAAAAACTGTATCCAAATTTTTGCTTCTTTGGAACCAAAAGTCAAAATTGTGATTTTAAAATTTTTCATTTTTATTTCAATTAATTCTGATCTCCAAATTATTATTATTATTATTATTATTATTATTATTATTATTATTATTATTATTATTATTATTATTATTATTATTGTTATTATTATGACCACTGAATATTTGAAGATGCCTTTAAAACCACTGTACATTTGAGGAAAACTACGTTAAGTTGAAATGCCCCCAAATACCAGACACGAGGATAAAAAACCACCTTAATTTATTCAATTGGTTGACAATATTGCATAGTTTGAATGGTGTTGTGTCATAAAAAGGGGTTGGTACGGTTAGTTACAAAAACTCATAAAGTTTGTGGAGATTAAAAACACAAATGAGCAGTATTGAAACTTGTTTCTCTTGTATCTGTGCAAAAATCAAAACCTTAGGCAACAAAGTAAAAAAGATAATTACCAGATGCCAGAATATCTTTTTCAAGTTGGCCGGAGAAGCTCTGTAATGAAATGCAGATTGTCAGTTTAGAAATATCATGTCTAGCAGCAAGAATATAATCACAAAACAGAAGCTTGGAAGTGACAGTTTGAGCAAGCAAAAAGTATAAGAAAAAGATTTTGATATGAACTGTTGACAACTTTCAGAGAAAGAAACTTCTTCTTGATGAACTTAAGAGGCACAAAGATCAGCAGGAATCTTTACCTTAAAATGAGCATTTTGAATTGAGAACACAAGTATCTGAACTCCGAAAAGTTGAAAAATAAAAGACATATTAGACATGTTCAGATGGTACAATTGTTTGAGCTTACGAATGAGTCACCTAAGGCTTCTGCTGCTCTTAGTCTTTCTTCATGCATATCTTCGGTCATAGGAGGTGGGTCCTACAGTAAAGTTAGATGCAGATTATGCATTTCACTGGGATTGGTGAGTAGGTCGAAGATAATGAACTACCTGTGTTATTGGGGTATGCATATTCTTGCCTGATTTCAAGAGCATCATTGACCCTGCTGTACCAGCTGAACCACTCCTGATATGTAGAAACAATTATTAGAAAAGATGCAGAAACCTAACGGAAGAATGAGGTTTTGAAATGCAGGAAGATCTTAATCATAAAATTATCCAATCTAGTTCACACTACTATTGATAATTTGTTAACCTACTCAGAGATGATAAAACCACGTTGATGATTTTAGATCTCATTAGTTGCAATTAAAATGAAATACGAAGACTATGAGCTAGTAGCCAAAGTCGTACCCATCACCCTCTATGGGATTTTTTGTAGTGATGGATACAATGTTCGACACCTATACCTCTCAATTTTTCTTATATGTTTAGAACTCCCTTTTTTTCCAATCCCTCCGTAACTATTTAAAAGAAAACTGAAAATATATGAAGAAAGACATTCAGAAACTGGAAGGACATGTTAACAAAGAAACATTGACAATTGTGATTAAAAAAAGCCAAAATATCGCATACATGTAATCTTGAAGACATACCATAAGAAGACAACAAATTGTATCATATCCAAAAATTCTAAATGTTTATATGTATATTAATTATTCTATATACGATCACTCTAAACTAAGCTTGTATACCGGTCCTGATTCCTGCCATGACCTTCATTAACTCCATGCGCAAGTAAGTCCTTTGGAATCTGGAGATCTTCCTGTTGACAGATTTATAGTGAATGTCAGCTGGCAATGAATGCAGTAAAAGAATCACAAGCAGTAAAGCTTCAACTAAAATACCAGTACTTACTTGAGAACCACTTTTGCCAGCATTATGCTCTTTTAAATCTTGACGTCTTTTGTCAATGCAAAGAGCAAGCTGAAAAAGGGAAATGGACCACATAAAATTTGGCCAGTATATATTTCAATAAAATATATATTAGAAAGTAGAAAAGAAAAAAAAGAAAAAAAGAAAAAAAGAAAAGAAAAACCAGCAAAGAGGCATAGAAAAAGTATTATAATTTGTTCTGTGCTAAGGCAACAACCTAGGATAAGCTCATAAAGTAGAAACAGAATCATCATTCATCAGTTTGACTTAGTTTTACATGCACCAACTACGTTAAAAAAATTCCCATATTCATGAAGATAGTCAGATAGGCAGGACGGTTTGGATTGCTGTTCCCTTCAAAGTTTCAAACCATCCTGCTTATCTATACTTCATGGAGAGTTACTATTTGGAGCATTTTAACTGCTAGTGGTTAGGACATTATATTTACAATGGGGTCCTAAAGCACAGGATATTTACCCATTTACATAGAGATGCAGAGAGCAGATATACACACATAAGCACATACGGACATACAGTGAGAGAGACCACAAATAAAAAACTAAGTTCTCAAGTCTACAACATCTATTGTGCCAAACTAACAAACCATGTGGAGTTTCTGGTTGATCAAACAAGTTGATAGGTCAATTGTGCTACTGGTTGGCATTCTTGGTAATGGCTGTAACTCTTCCCAACACCAGCGAACCTCACGTACAAACTCTATCCAGAGTACGGCAATGGCTAATCAAAGGATACAGATGAGTAAATCAAAGGTGAAATGATAGTCATGCCTTATAAGGAAAAGATAGTCTTTCTAAAATGCTCCTTGATATAAAAGAAGGTTAGCAGTAGAAATACCTCGTATACTGCAATTACCAAACCAAAGAGCATGTAAACAGAATTGTGCAAAGAGCGACTCGAGTGGGGCGCCTTTAATAGATCGAGAACTTCTATGCTCTCCTGGAGAGGAGTTCAACTGTGCCTCTGTAGCTGCAGAGGAAGAAAATTGACTAACAAATTAACAACAAGAACCTAACCATGATCATTTGCACTGTGAAAATCTTATTCTGCTAGGTTCACCCACTCGATTTGAACTCCATCTAAATTTTTGGCAAGGAAATAATTAACAGATAAACAATGCTGGACTTCACTGAAATAGATGGCAACTGGATTATTGAGAAACAACAATCATTAGTTATTTGTGCTTTGAGAAGCAACCATGACTTTAAGCAGTAGCACTTAACAGCACAAGCTATAAACTGTTCCTGAAAGCTAATTCTCATAAGGCATTTAAAATAATAAAGTTGCAAGTGAAGGTTTACTATCCTCATGACTTTAAGCAGTTGCTCTTAACAGCACAAGCTATAAACTGTTCTGAGAGCTAATTCTCATAGGAACTTTAAAGTTTAAAATAATAAAGTTGCAAATGAAGGTTTACTACCCTCATGAAAGAGATCCTTTAGGACACGATCAAGCACGGTTGGTGGAGGTACAACACCTGAAGACTTCAAGTTTTCAGAACCTGAGTTCTCAACTGACATTACCAGGAAACAAAAATTAATAGAATTTAGAGTCGGAAAATATTGCTTTCATCAACAACAATTCAGAGTTGTTAATGCATTAATGATTTCAAACCTGACACAAAATCTTCAATAAATTTAGCCTCCTGTGACATTTCCATTGCTTTAACCAAAAGGTGCAACTGGGAGGCAAATCCAATAGTACTTCCATCAGAAATATGACTGTCAAACATGAAGAAATAAACATCATTCCACTCACCCACAAAGATCCAGCAATTTCCTATCTACCACATCATGAAGATCCAAGTAATAGGAGAACACTTTCTATAAAGCAGGACTGATGGATCTAAGTGTAGAAGCTAAAAAGTTATTTTCATCTAGAATGAAGTTTACAGCTATCGAACATTTCCAGTGCAGCATTTCCTTAAGCAACGAAAAAATTGTCTGTAAGGTTGGTTTCTGTAGAAGGAAAGACGTATGGGCCACTGCTAAAACTATAGACTATATGACCCATTCAAAAGAGTCTAGGATAAGGGCCAGTTCGGTCAAGCCAGATACACACAAAACACAAAAGTGCTTTTAAGCACTTGAGTTAGAGGAAAAAGCCTGGTGATTGGATCCATGAAAGGCCTATGAACAATGATAAGCCATATCAGAAAGTTTGTTCCCGATATAGCCCGTATGCAATTTAAAATAGGAATGTGAGGCAACGTTCGAAAAAATATGAAGAAGTGTCAGAGCCCAAGTGTAAACCTTGAGGTTCAATAAAACTGATATTAAGGGTCTGATTGGATATATGTTATTTTGGATTTGATTGGATTTATTGGATAAAGTGAGTTAATTTTGAAAAAATAAATAAATTGTTTGAGTTTGCTTTAAGTTTATATTTAAATAATAGTTAAAATATGATAATTATATTTGATGTGACGTAAAAGTAGGAGAGAAGTGATTGGAAGTGATGGATAGTTAAATTATGTGAGTGAATGAATAGTGAATTAAAGTTGATGTGATGTGTGATGATGATTGATTGGTATAATTTAATTATATTGATAATAGTGAGGAGATTTGGGTTGAGTTAAATTTGATTTGAACTTTGAGTTAAAAAATTATCTTGTAAGTCATAACTGGATATTTTACATCCAATCAGGCCCTAACTTAAGATTTCTCACTTTTGTACAACCCATTGGTGATGTAGACAACGTGTCAATCACATGCGGAATTACGAGAGCAGATTTGGCTGAACATTGTATATTTGTATTATCTGTTTCTTGAACACAAAAACTTATTTCCATAATAAACCTGAGCCCCCATGAGCTAGTCTTCTAGATTAACATTGATCATAAGTCAGCTTTCCATCTCCCAACAACTTTAATACAAATGACCACATTTGACATACATTTTCGTCTACAAACAATATAGCTATTCATAGCACATAGGAAAAATTCAGAAACCTCAAGTAGTGAAACACTATTCTTACAGATTTTCAGAAAGCAGTGGACGTAAGAACCACTTATCAGCATCCAGTGGTGAAGCATTTTCTAATTCTGCCATGTCCAGAGAACTATCAGCTGTTATCTCGGACCACATCACAAGTAACTCGAATCCTGCATCAATAACTTAACAACATCAAGAAAAATATATTTTCTAGACTAAGATTTTTATGTAGGACACTTAAAAGTTAATTTAACACGTCCAGGCATTCAGACAAAAAGATCTGAGCACCGCTTTAAACTCAACTAACAACTTATGCATATATAAGCATCAGCATAGCATTTCACCTTTTACAGGGTCCTCCGCAGAGTACCATTTACTCCAAGGAAAATTATCATCCCATTGTGTTTTTCCATTTGTATCACTCTCCATGTTCTCACTGGAATCTGCTGTGTCAGTATTAAGTTCTTGCATTTCGTCCTCCTCATCACAGACAGGGGTTCGGTAGGTTAATTTCATCTTAAAATTGACTTGATAATGATGCATGGACCAGTCCAACGCAGTATAGGCCTTTTGAGCATATTCATGAGAAATTAACTACATCAGTAAATAGCATGAGATAGGCATACGGAAGATCAAGTTATGAACAAAACCTATCTAGCATCAACAGACCGAGTCAAGGTTTAGGTAAAGAACAAAGCTGATTTGTCTAGTTAAATTGAAAGAAGGAAAAATTTTATCAGACAAGGCCTGCCCCAGGCCCACGCACAGAATCAGGACGAAAAGTCCTGCCAAGCATAAAGCCAACAATCTCCATTCCACCAAGATAACTCATCTGATAACATGTGTTCTACTTAAATAAAGGCAACCCAAAATATAACTCTCATGATGTTCTAACAATACTGGCCCAAAGACCAATCAATGATTAAAATAGAAAAGAATCTGCTCCGCTATTGATGTGCAACATCAACGCTATGGAAAACACTAATAAGGTCGATCACATAAACAAGCTTCGGAACAAACTAGAAAGCTAAGGCAAAGTTTCAGTGCGTTCTTAGTACGAAGCAATTCTAGGGTAAACACTTTATCTTAGAAAATGAAACGTACAAAAAAATTACTACCTAAGCTATTTCTCTGATGAAAAGTATGACCACGATTTTGGGACAGAAATGCCAAATTCAAAACCATGAACAGCTGCTAATACTACAAATAAAACTTCACATTCATGAATAATGGTGAGAGAAGTGAAGATACTTAGGAATGACTAATCATTTATGGGCACAAGATCACCGTTGTTATACATAGCTTCCTAAATCCTAATAAAATCTTAATGGCGTGCTTGGATATAAAAATTTCCACTCAAAATGTATTTTTTATGTTAACCAGAGTTAGTTTGAAAAAAATCTAGTATGGTTAGTTGTTAGTGGGATTTTAGTTTATATCAAATAATATTTAAATAAAATAATTAAAGTTGATTTGATGTAAAAGTAGGAGAGAGATGAACTGAAGTGATGGTTAGTTAAAATTATGTAAGTGGATGAATAGTGAATTAAAGTTATGTGATGTGTAAGAATGATTTATTGGTATTATTTAATTATATTGATAATATTGAGGATAGTTGGGTTGAGTTAAATTTGAGTTAGATTTTGAGTTAAACTAAGTTTGGATTGGATATTTTTATATCCAATCACGCCTCAAGTCTCCCAAGATGAAACAAATTTTCAAAGGTGAAAAAAAAAAGAGAGAAAGAGAGAACAATAAGACTCATCAAACTTCCCAAGAGAGTTGAACAAAAGGGAAAAAGGTAAAAAGAATTTGAGAAGAAAGACGAATAACTTACAAACTTAGATACAAACAGCTCGTATAATCCTTCCAAATGCATAAGCTTAATAGGAACCTGGCTACCAATGCGGTCAGCTTCAAATCGTCTAGTAAAAACTGTTCCCATACTTTGAATACCTATATATGCTTTACGTGTAGGGTCATGTACAGGAACAAATGCAGGCCATAAACTGCAGAAAAATGAACATAAAAAAAATCATTGCATTTAAGTTCAGTAAGAACTATGGATAAGGAGCAGTTACATTAATCACAGAAAGAAAAACAAATGAATAAAAATAAAGTCATGCACTTCAAGTACAAAGGAAAATGAATACTGAGAATCCCAGCACTTGATGGTTTTTGATTCATTACAGCAAAACATTGTAAGCAACAAGCGAAGCTGATCATCGGGAAACTAACTTATTTTAAACGAAAGGGAAGAAATATTTAGTCCCTCTTACAATTCAAGATCCCTTGATCATCTCTATGCTTAGGTGTGCTTTTCAAACTAAGACAAGATCATTGCTCAGTAACAGGCCTGTACATCGATTGAATGGGTTGCCCCCGAAAGTCTGCATTCTAGATAACATACACGAAGATAATAATGCAAATAGTGTACTCAAGAACGATATTGAAGCCTTGTTCGTCACTAGACCTTAAAGTGGATTTCGTACCTCTTTCTCAGGCAGTATGACATGATCTCTATAGAAAATATTTTTGTCAATTTATTCAGTCAAAACTAAACTTGAAAGTAGTTAAAAGGGAAAAAGAATAATTAGATTCTGTTCTGCATTGTCTCCCTCTTGATCATATCAATGGCAATAAAAGATATTTCGTAGGGCAAAAATAGGAAGTTGTTCATAAGATTCGAAAATAAAGAAATAAAACAAAGTGCAAAGCAAAATAGCAAACATACCATGAACAGTTGGACAAAGCAATGGCCACTGCACTCAAAAGTTTGCTTGCCTCTGGTGCGTCAAGAACCACACCACTTGCACTTTGTGGAGTAATAACCTGACAGTAGAAAACAGAAGCATGAAAAATAACAAGCAGAACAAGAGTCTAAAGAGCAAGGTAAGAAATATGCAGAAAGACGCAAGCAACAAAGAGACAAACAGACCACAAACTCATTCACCCCAAAAGTAAGCTGCAGATCAGGCAATGTCTGATCCCAGTCAGCATCTTTGCCTGAGCCAATAAGAATTCCAATTAAAATATAAAGACAGGAAAATAGGGTCCTTTACTCCTTTTGATTGTGAAGTTAAAACAGAACATTGACTGTACCACCATTACTTGTAGGAAAATAGTACTCCATGAAATAACTTTTCCCAGCATACTTGAACTCAGATTTAACTTTGTACAGATCTTTTGTGGGGTTCATCGGCACGGCATCCTTTACCTTTAACCAAACATAAACGGCGTTTAAGCTGAGATGCAAAACTTATCCTAAACCTACATAAAGAAATGGTTCATCATACTTAATGGGTATAACAAATCTGGAATTTAAAACGAAGCATCGTCATATTTCCATAGTAGAAGTCAAGAATATCTCATCACATGCTATTAAGGAATCACATACAAATGCTAAATTTTCTCCCATAGTAAGAAGACTTGGTAAAATGTACGATAATTATTTTAATATAAAAAATGGTTCTGCCGATTGAAGAAACGCGAGCATAATGAGCCACCGGACATATTGTAGCGAGCAACAGACAGGGTAACTTCAGCAAATACTACTATAGCAGTTAATTTTGAAACTCTAATGCAGGTGAAAGCAGCCATTTACATCATCAACCACTTTCCTTCAACATCCTGTTTGATACGCAATGATTATTTAAAGAAAATCTGCAGTTAGTAGTATTCATGCCATTTGGTATGTTGAATAAGTGAAGGTATAGTGGACATTACAAAGTGATAATAATATTTGAACTTCTTGCATAAACCATGGTACTTAATTTTCACTTCAAATATAGACTCCTCTTTTCATTGGCACGGAGATCGAGTTATCAGCAATGAGAAATAGGTTAAGATTCAGCTATCCCTTCATTGAGCACAGAGTCATCAACAACAACAACAACAACAACAACAACAACAACAACAACAACAACATACCCAGTATATTCCCAACTGGTTGGGGTTTGGGGGGTCAGTTGTACGCAGACCTTACCCTTGTAATTATACAAGGAGGCTGTTTCCGTAGCGACCCAAAGTGCATTGCGTCATTTGATATATATTTTCTAGAAACTTCACTAATAGAAGAAACACTAGAATTTAATTGAGCCATTTTGATCTAGTCCATTATTAGCACTATGCCAGGAGAATTGTCAACAATGACTCTTCCATTTGCAATGGACAATGAGCACAGAGTCATCGGCAACAACAAATAGATTAAGATTCAGTTACCCTGCATTAGATTAAGCTTAAATAGAGTATTGGAGTGAAATGGGAACATCTACCCAGTGACATATTTTTTTATAGGAAATCTACCAAATGACTTATCCATATCTGACACCTATATGAGCAATTGTGATGCCCTCTCCCATCACATATAATATATAGCATGAACTTAAACAGAAAACCATCCCTTTTGCAAATATATGAACATTGGATACACGATAGCAGGAAAAGAACGGCTCTAAGTTCTAACAGTAGCAATTACACTAGGATGGGGCATACCATTAGATTCTTTGGACCATCAGTTAACCATTGTCGACACACGGCCTCTATTTCAGATATGAACCTAAAAAACATGCAACTAGTAATATTAATATCGAAGGACCATTCGCTTCGACTGGGTAATTACATGTGTCATGCCACACTGAAATTTCATACCTTTCCCACGACGAGGCAAGAGTAAAATCATCAAAATGCTCAAACTGCAACAACAGTAGCATAGAGGATAATAACAATAGGATAAGTAAATTGTACACTTCAAAAAAAAAAAAAAAAAAAAAAAATCATTAGTACTCTATGTGAAGTAGTCCATATATACCTCCTGTTCTTCATCGTCATCCTCGGCAACGACTTTTGAATTGCTAGTCGACGCCATCCTCCCTTCTCGCCTCTTAGTATGCACCTTACAAGAAATTCTAATTGAAAATACCAATAATCTCACATTAAAAAAAAAAAAGATTTAATTTCTCAATTACAGTTCAGGTACCAAAAGGATACTCGGTTCGTACAGATTGATGGAGCTTGAAGATTCCCAATCAATACAAAACGAAAATTAAAAGAATGAGCATGACCTTAAATTGAACTGCGGAGACACGATTAAACAATTCCCAGTTACCGGAGAACCATCGATCATATGTTGCACATAACTGAACAGAGAGAAATGTCTTTCATTTGTTGGTCTCTACCGGACAAACCTTAAGGCCTTGTTTGTTTTGGAAAATATAAGAGGATTAAGGCCTTTAATTTATCACAGATTAATCCTATACAGGCCGGGAAAGGAAGAGTTATCGAGCTGAATTAAACCGGGTTTAAGGTTTTCGAGCTTGAGTTTGACTAATTTTTTTGAATAGTTTTCGTGTTCTTTCGTTTAGTAATTGAACAGCAAAGTTCGTTCGTGTTCGTTCGTTTATTTGTTCGACACATTCGTGTTCGCTCGTTTATATAGTCAAACATATTTGTTAAATGTTCGACAAGTTAGTGTTCGAATTGTTCAACAAATTGGGGTTTGTGTTTGTTATTTTTTTTCCTTATTTTTAATACCATACAAGTTATTTTATTTAATATTTAATATATATTCATATTTATATATAATATTACATATGTATATACTATATATATAATACATAAAATTATAAAATACTATATATATAATACATAAAATTATAAAATACTTTTTTGTTCGCATCGATTAGTTCGCGAACTTGTTCGTATTCGTGGGATAACTAAACGAGCATACTTTCATGTTCGAGTTCGGATCTATTAGTAAACGAACAATTGGGAAAATTTAAGTACGGGCAGGCCTTACT